GATTCGTGCTCACTGTTTTTATAAACCAGTTTTTGAAAATGAAGCCATCTTTAAGAAGCCATTCAGAAGTATTGGTAAGAGGACACACATCTCAGAGTTAAATCACCTTGGGAGAAAGCTCATGCCTGTCTTGCTAGCTGGTTAAAATCAGTTGAAACGTTTGCTACGTTGTGAGAAATAAGTGTTAAATGATGACAACAGACAAGAAAAGCGGAGTAGCTTCTAACTCATTCTTTTTCTCCGCAGCATTTACAAAACCAGTGCGGACTGCCCAGGAGGAAGAGGCCTGTAGCTGCCGGTTTCCCGAAGAAGAAGAAGGAGACGCGGGCCGTGAAGCAGAAGGCCCAGGGCTATTGGGACGCGCTTGAGAAGAAGCAGAGAAGCGAGTAACTTTGTCTACCGGGCCCTTCACAAGGCAAAAGACCGTCCTAGGAAATGCCAAGGACGACCCTCTGGCAGGTTTTTTCCAAATGCTAATGAGATTAGTCTTTGAAAATGTACCCCTTGTCACAGACGAGCCAGAGCTGGTGCCAAAAGACAGTTTCTAGATGCGGCCCAAGGGTCTTCGACTAGTGATTTTGAAACCCAAAGAGAATTATATTTAAAATTTAATCATGAAGGCCCAATAGTCCAGCTAAAATGGTCATCCAAATAATCCCATTTTTTCTTACACTAATGGTATGTGACGATAAGCCGTAAACTATCCCCAACCAGAATGTCCAATGGTTCCGTTACTTAGCACAGTGGCCTTTTCCCTGTCGGGGACAGTGTGATGAGCGGCCTAGGCTGAGGTGCAGAGGGGGCGAGAAATCCCAAACCCTTCACCCTCACACCCCTGGCCTTCATTTCACTTCCCTTGGAGCCAAATCTCGTCTCACAAATGTGTGTGTGTGTGTGTGTGTGTGTGTGTGTGTGTGTGTGTGTGCGTGTTTAAGCTAGTTGGATACATGTATATATCCATAAAGATTTAATCTCAGAAACCTTAGGGAACACTTGGATTCTGTCCTGGGGGCTCCCTCTGAGTCCCAGAGTCAATTCAGTGGCAGTGAACTTGGCTTTGGTCTTAACCTTCTATTCATTTTGTTCGCGTTGGGCATCCAACTGACAAAACACACACCAGTTCCACAGATTCTACATGTACGTGTCCATGACATTGAGATTGCCTTCTTTAAGTTGTGCAAACATTCTCATTTTCCTTTTCTGAGCTGGTCCTTGTAGTCCACTGGGTAGTGCCTGGGGTTCAAAGGCTTGTAAGAGGCCATCTAAGGTACAACAATCGGTCTCTATACATTTGGAACGGAGGAAGGAGGAGAATCAGGATTGGGATAAGGATGTAGACTCATTGCCTCCATGAGCCACTGCCTCCTCTACCATCAGACCAGAAGAATTAGATGGTGCCCAGCTTTACTGACATATTGACAAAAGATTCTAAAGAAGAATCCTGATCAAAGGGGGGGTGGGAGGGGATTTAGAACAAAATGTAAAATTCTCCATAGACTCCATACTTTCTGGAGCTATAAAGGCTGCACGAACCTGTCAGCTCATCTTTAAATCTTAAACTAAAAATATCCCCTTGGACCTTCCTAAAACCAGTGTAACTGGTAAAGAATATTTGCCTTGAGTGGTATGCTCCTTTAAGAACTCACCATAGGGGGTCACAGTGACAACGGCGACCTTAAAGGTTATAGGAACCTTAGCATGTGATGCATTTCTGTGGCGTGTTCCATACGCTCACTATAAGAAGCCACAGAGCAAAGCAATAAAACAAACACCTCTCACGTGAGGATAAACGTCAGCAATAGTCGGAGACAATCACAGAATGAAATAAATCTAATGCAGTAATAGATGCATCTCTTTTTCTTCCTTAAAAGATTGTCTTCCTCGTCTCTGATGTATGACATAATCATAAAGTATTTGTTGCTTGCCAAACACTTTTATTTAAATATATGAAGTCCTTCTATTTGACTCTCTTGACTCTTTTGATAAGAAATGTGTTATTATATTAAAAACATTTTTAAATGTTTTTAAAAAAATCATTTTACTGGGGGCTCATACAACTCTGATCACAATCCATCCATCCATCCATTGTGTGTCAAGCACATTTGTTGCCCTCATCATTCTCAAAACATTTGTTTTCTACTTGAGCCCTTGGTATCAGCTCCTCATTTTTTCCCCTTTTCCCGCTCCCCTCTCCCTCTCTTATGGAAGATTTTTTTCCTTCTAACTTTCCAAGAAATCTTGCCATGCCACATGAAAACACTACTCCACTTGGGGCTAAGAAAGGACACATAGCTTCATACAGAACGATAACATCTAAGACCCCATTTGAATACTCCAATACTTTGAATGACCCTTCCTCGAACGTTAGTAGCGGTTGGGGGGCAATTGGTTCAGTGGTTTAAGTGCTTGACTGCTAACCAAGTGGTTGACAGAAGCCACCGAAGGGCACCTTGGAAGACAGACAGACGTAGCATTCTACTTCTGAGAAGTCACAGCCGTGAAGCCGCCTGGAGAATTGTTCTGCTCCACACACACGAGGTCTCCATACATCAGAAGCAGCCCAATGGCAATTGGTTGTGCTTTTTAAGTGCTGTGGGTGAAGTTGTCTGATGTTTCAGGAGTCTGAGCAGTAATGAGTGGCCTCAGAGGTCCCTTAACCTGGTTTTCCGGAAAGAAAAAGCGAAAAATCACGGGTGGTACCAGACTTTGACACAAGAGGTTTGCACAGCAATGGCTAGGGCAGTGGTTCTCAACCTGTGGGTCGCGACCCCTTTGGGGGGTCAAATGACCCTTTCACAGGGGTCACCCGATTCATCACAGTAGCAAAATGACAGTGATGAAGTGCCAACGAAAATAATGTTATGGTTGGGGGGTCACCACCACATGAGGAACTGCATGAAAGGGTCGCCGCCTGAGGCAGGCTGAGAACCACTGGTCTAGGGAGATGATCAGAGTCCCTTCCAGAGTCCAGCTGACTCTCCAAAGCACAAGCGGCGAGTCCCCTTCTTGGACCAGAGTTCAGAGTTTCTTCTTTTGCTGTTCGTGACCTGCACGTGGAGAAGGGACTGGCCACACCCCATCACCTCGTGTGGGGAACGTTCAAGAAAACCCAGCTCAGTTCTCATTTGCCCCAGAGAAAATCGACAGTTTCTTCTGGAGAGAGATTTAGGATTTGGGGTTCATTTGTTTTTTTTGCCTGACAGGTGGTTTTTACTGCACACACTGCAATATCAGTAGTATATTTTGGGGTAAACGTTATAAATGAAAAAACACACACACAGGAACTTGGGGGATGAGTCATCTCTTCCTCAAAGATAGTTAATGAAGGGGGTGGGGAGGAGAAAATCAAGACAAAATAAAATGATCCCGCTTTAGAGTTCATTTCTGAAATCCAGAGATTGGGTTTGGTAGAAATCATGGCAAATGTTCTCTGGTACAAATGAACTTCCATCTTTAGAGACGCACTTGTTGGAAGTCGGTTCCTAAAAGGCACAAAAAGAAGCGCGGGCCACTTCTGACGCACATGTTGAGCCTCTCGCCGGGGCTGGGGGAAGAAGCAGATGGAAACGTTTGATATGAGGGGCATCTGCCTCCTCAGGTGGGCGCCTTGGGCATCGGTGGAGCCGATGTTTCCATACGTGGGTGGGCCGTACATTCAGACCACAGCCCGAGTGGGTTACGTGCGGTCTGTGCACGGCGGGGCTGTAAGAGTGAGCGCCACCTGTGTGCTGCAAACGTGTCTCTAGAAAAACCCCAATCTGCCAGCTTCACAGACAAAAAACTACTGAGGAAAAAAATCTTCAAGTTCCTTTTCCACCTTTGAACTCTTCTTCGGAGTTCTGAGGTTTACTGTTGTCAAGTACTGGCGGTGGATTCACACAAAAGAGCCCGAGGTGCTGCTGTAGGTGAGCATGGCCCTGCAGGGTTTTCTTGCTGTGATCCGTAAGGACACAAGTCACCCGGGCTTCCTCCTACAGACCAGGAAGATGGGTTCGAACCACCAACCTTTCTGCTTTGCTATCAGTGCTCCTTAACGTTATGTCAATACCGTGACACATCAAGGCTGATTATAAAATAAGGTGCCGTTCTCTGAAAGCTGTAGAAGATTAGACAATTGGGAGGTATGTGGAAGACGTGGAGCTTGGGATCCCGCTTGCTGTCTGTAGCAGAATGATGAGTAACGTAACACGAAACTTGCTTTTGTAGAAATACTGATTCACAGGGATGCAGGTTAATTAAACCACTGGAGCATTCCCCACATCCCGTCTCGCCTGCATTCTTTGCGGTGGCGGATTCTGTCGCGCACTGACTCCTTCATTAAGCAAACACCCCGCTCCGCCCACCCCGCCCCAGGTGTCTGCCCTCCACGTGACACCTACTAGGATCAAAAGCTCAGAGACGAAGGATCCATTTTCCAGCCGAGGGGAGGACAAGTGGAATCCAGTCAGCACTAGAGCAGGGTATTAGTGGAGTTCCTGAAGAGGATTCTATTCGACCCGAAGCTGTTGGCAGACCTGCTGCGTGCCAGGTGTCAGGATGGGCATCGGGAATGTGCTGTTGTTAGGTGTTATGGAGTCAATTTGGACCCAGAGCAACTCTGTCTGTCCAAAGACTAAACTACAGCGCTCCGGCCTGCGCCCTCACAATCAGCCCTAGGTTGGATGGAGCCCATTGTTGCAATCACTGGGTCAACTCACCTCCTTGAGGGCCTTGCACTTTTTCACTGACCCTCTGCTTTCCCAAGCACGGTGTCCTTCTCCAGGGACTGACCTCTCCTGATGACACGTCCAAAGTACGGGAGACAAA